GAATGGTGGCATGTGTAGAGGCTAGAACCGGTTTCCATCGCCATGCCACCGCCCAGCGACATGGAGCGGGGTCAGTGACCAGGGCGCAGGGAAAGGTCAGAGGTCAACTATAACGCAGAGCTTTGTGTCTCCCTCCCCTCCGCGTGTAACGACGCACGACAGCGGCCGGCCGCCGATCAGGCCTGGCATGTCAAGGTCACCCGCAGTCAACGGGCTCAGAGGGTTGGTCGAGTGCGCGTCCGTGGCTGACGACAGTCTCGACCATGTGCTATGGTGCCGATAAACTAGCGTGGGTAATAAGTTTTTGTTCAGTGCATATGGCTGCTGGGGTGTGTCATCTTGATATATGATGTCTTGCAACGTGTATGATACGCTTAAAACCTCGCTGGCAGTGGCCGAGAGGAGAGGGGGGGGGGGGGGCGGGGAGGCGGGTGCCGCCTCCACATGTTTATTTTTGTTGATAGCTGCGAAAGCTGAAATTTGGCAAGCCTGACCTTTGATTCAAGCTGAATTTTTATGACAGCAGCTGTATTTTCACCCTCGCCCATATTGGTGTTTTGCCAGCGTCTATCGTAAGGGGGGGGGGGAGGAGGGTCCATTGGACCCCTTTGCCGTTCAGCCCTTGATCGAGCTAACGCTTCGCGGAAAAAGAGCGTGTTGCCCGTGACGAGAGGAGGCCGATGATACCCAATTTCAAGGTCCTAGGTCATTGGTTGACAGGTCAATATAAATCAAAAGTCGGGGAATCGGGACCTGTTAGAGCTTCGTAAAGTGAAGCTGCTATAGGGTTTTGCGGGGTGCTGATCACGAATTTCAAGTTAGTTTTGATCACAGATGATGTTTTCGTGCATCAGGTCACATGTTACGAGGGAACCAAAACTCTTTCTTAAATGTTCAAACGGTTTCTAAATGCGAAACAAAATCTACCCTGGAAACATGTAGAACTCGAAAGAGTGAACAAAGGTCATCAAAGATCAGTGACCTGACTAACCTTCACGTGACCTTGATACCCACTAGAATCCATGGGATCAACATCCTTTCACATGTTTGATCGCTTAAAGCCACAGAAAGACAATAAAACGCGCTCTACGCGAAATACGCCAAAACGCGATTCCGGCCAAACATGGTTTCGGAAAACAAATCACAAGTCAAAAATCTTTTGAGTCAGGGTCATATAAATTACAGGGTAGGCGTAATATTGATTAACTCGAGGGTACTGAAAGTGTCGTCGCAATCAGCCGCTTTTTGCGCGAGTTATTTGCGAAAAATCTGAGGGTAGGAGGGCTGTTCGACACCCTCCTACAAGTGCGAAGGTTAAGGTCAGGCCATTGACCAATGACGTCAAAAGTGAACCTCTGTAAGATCCCAAAATGTCGCGACGTCGTAGCACCTTTCGTGCCAGGGGACTTTTCAACGGGGAATGAAGCTTATATGATCTAGTACTATCTCACAGAGGCCTCACAACTTGTATGTAGCTATCTCGTATTTTTCTTAAGAGTGACCTGAAGTCAGGTAGGACACGCAACCTCACGATTGTCAATCAGTTGGGAAATATGAAAGCTGTTATTTTGGCGCCAGGAGACATCTAAAGCTGTCTCAAGCGCATTAATTCGCGATTTTATACAATATTTGCAAGCCCCAGCATTCACTTTTCCATTCTTAAAGCTAGGCGACTTCATTTATGACGTCACTAAGGTCACAGGAGTTTTCACCAAAAAGTCCCGATCAAATTGAGCTAGCGAGTCGGGAAGCCACCAGTGGACTTGTGAGGACCTACCGAATCGAAGAAGCTACATATATGACCTCCTTGGGCCAGCTTCGTGGCCTGAGTGGCTCTGCCCTGACCATGACCTGATGTGAACATGCACCTTAAATTGACCTCAACGAAAACAAAGCGTATACTATTCGACGCGCTTGAAGTTGAGCATGCAAAACTCGACGGTGCCATAATGTTGGCTCTGTAACCACTTAAGTGGTGAAGTTGTTTGCCAAAAACCGATCCCGCGACTTTGAGCTGACCTCAGAGTTCATCGGTTGACCCGAGACATTCAAATCGGGTACCAGTTGCTGCATCTCATACGACGCACGCGCTCAGTTTTATCCGCAAGGCGCTAGCTCAATTAGGGGCAAAAAGACGGAGAGGGGTCGCAATCACCCCCCCCCCCCCATCGGCCGGGGTATACTCGTATGCAGAAAACCCAAAATTCCGTTGAGGGTTAAGCACTGAAGTGATATTATGATGCGAGAAGGTATAGGTCAAAAAAGTATGCACACGAGCGGGTATGAATAAAACTGTGCTCGAGGTATGCCTTTTTATTATGCATTCGATTTACTTTAGTTATTGGTAAGAACAGATACAACCAAGAAGAGCGCCCCTGAAGAAAAGGTGGCGCACCGGACAGGTGCGATTTTAAGGTCTAAGGTCAGTCGGGGACCTCTAAGTTCGGATTAAGTGCTGCATGTTAGGGGTAAAAAATGGGGGCAAAAAAGCATCCCGATTTTGGCAGCATCGTCATGCTTTGTCATGGCACTCATCCACTCCCTCGGCCGAAATATTATTACCCTTTTGTATGAGTTCTGGCATAATCCCGCACATTATGCTGCATGTTGTTTGCCATGAAAAAAAAAACAATGCATGTTCAGCTACGTTCTACGCAGTACGCACTAACCTAACCACCATTCCATTATCCACCACTAGCCACCATCCCGTTCTGTGCCCCCTTCCACCCCACACGAATCAGCCGAGACACTAGTCAGTCGGGCTAGCGCTATCCTATCCTCCCTTCCTGACTGCACAGCGCTTAAACCCAGAGCCGAGACTTCCCGAGCGCGACCTCTGACCCCACGCGGTCCGAAGGGTCGGCCGATGCCTAAGGGCGCGCCGCGCGCCGGCCACCCGGATAGCCTCTGCCGAGTCTCCCTTTCATACACCGTTTACTACGCGCTCGATTCATTCATGATTCTGTGTTTCTGTGTCCCTCTCGTTAGATGGCTCTACTGATGTCATAGGCGATCCCAGGAAGATTGCGGCCAGAATACCCCAAACGGCAGAAAATGAGGTTTTTGGTGAATATCTCGGAAAGTATTTGGCATACAACGATGCAATTTCACAGTCTCGTGGTAAATGTGCATACACATAATTCGGGTTGATACTTGTGCATTTGAACATTATATAGGACCAGATATGTCCGAAAAAGCAAAACCAACAAGACTTTTACTGGAGAGCCGTACATTAGCAAAGACAATGTAGTTAAGTTAGAGTTACCTGAAAGGTCAGCACTGAAAACGTTTTGGGAATGGGCCAGGGATTTTGAATATGTTTCGCTAATGTTTTCTTGAAAGGTCCGGGATCACCCTTGAAGCGTTTTGAGGTTCCGCCACGCCAGCGGTGCCCCATGTGTTGGCGGCATTGACTACGAATGGCGCACTCTTTGGCGACGAACGGTGCTATGAATGAGCCTCTGCATTATACATCAAATGTATACTGATGAACCTCACGAAACGGGGGCATTCTGGTGAAAGCCGCCATTCCCGAAAGTCAAGTAGTACATCTGCATAGTTGCGAAAGGTGGCTTAGTCCGCAAGTCTGCCCTTGCGTTGGATTTCACGCTTAATTAAAAGATAAATTTAGTGAGAACGGTAGTTGACTCAACTTACGGCAGAATATACGGTACATTACATGCAAAGGCAAAGTATGTTGTGATTATCAAAACTAAATTATGCAATTATTGTGGTGATTATTGCAATATTGAATGCGTTTGATGACATACACAAATTGAACACCGAACATTCAATAATTCGGTACAAACACGAAAACCTCTTCTCATTCCTTGTTGCAGATCAAAGTGTCATCAAATCGCGATTTATTCCATGAGGGGAATAAAACGACACGAAAACCATAGTGAGCATCGTCTCAATGTCACCGATCTCAGTTTCTTATAACACATTCCATCACAAGATGCTGATCCCACGGAGGCGCCCAAACGAGGTTGTCACAGTACGCAGCCATGCAGAAAACCCGACCTCTGACAGCTTTAAGCTTAGGTTTAAGCCCCATGACAGGAGGGATTTAAGCCGAGACAGTGGGCGTCTAAATTGTAATGGGAGCAATGGCGTCTCATTTTGGGTGTATTATACCCAGCAGGGATGAAAATGGATACGATAGATTCAATATGTATTGTGAGAAACACTTCGTAGGAGCGAGATAAAGTGCAATTATTCATTATAAAAGTGGCTTACGTTATACATTATACAATTCATCTGTCTTAAACGTAGCGTTAAGATGCATTCCAAACGGAATGTGCCAATAAGAATTCAATTTCAACGTCGCATTCCAGAAGGCAGCATCCGTTTTACATGTTTGATAGAGGCTGCCAAAGCCTTACGATGTGACATGAACCTTAGCAAATGCGTCCTCTCCCGATTCCAGCACGGTTCATTTATACGGGATGTTTTGAAATGATCTACGGTCAAATCGTAAATCTTTATTGATAGCATAATATGCCAGGGCAGCTACAACATACAAGTGCCGTCAATCATGGTATGTCCAGCACAGGCGTTACGTAAAACGATACGTTGAAATATGCGTGTTTACAGATCCCGGTAACAGTTAATATGAAATATGGATGATAAATTTTGAGTTGCTGTTGTGAAGTACGGCAAAAATAGTTTTGTTGTCGTCTTCAAGACATTGAACTTTTAGCTCATGTCGTCTTTATAGTTCATCGCACTAAATTAGATGATGTAGCCCGGTCCCAAGTCCAGTGAAACCAGGCTAGAATCTCAAACACTCACATTGTCATTGCGGTCCCATGGCGTTGCGATTATGAGAAAAATGAGGTACAAAATGTGTCCCTTCAAACCCCTTCGAATAAAAAGGGGAACATGCGATTAGTCAGGTGCCGAACGAAACTCTTTTTTACTACGGAATTTCAACATGTGTAAATCAAACACCGAGCAGTCCGGTCCCAACAGCACCCAAATCCCGCAGCTCCACTGACCTAGTTTGTCCTTGTAGAGCCTGCGGCGGATCCCGGGCGACTCGGCGCTGCCTTTCCGCGACTGTGATTGGCTGGCCGGCTTCGGAGGGCTGTCAGAGCTGTCCTCTGGTTGGCTGCGAGGCGGACTGGGCCGGTTCAGGCTGTCTATGGATGTGGAGCGTCGCAGCGGTGTAGGACTGCAGTCGGCACTAGAGCTGCCGGATAATAAACACGCAAGCTCAGTTAGTCGGATGCGAACATATACATAATGAATAAAGCAAAAGCTAATAACAATTAAAAACGATTTTTGATACAGGAGCATGCTTGTTTACGTACGAAACGAACTAGCGGCAGACTCGATCAAAAGTGAAAGTTTTAGTAGATGCACGCCAATTGTCATATCTTTTTTCCGCAATGACTTTAGGATTTGGAACATACGGCATCGATATAATAATAAAAGAATCACATTTCTTTGTAACCATGGAAACTTGTCAGCACCGACACCACTTGAGCCCTTGTATATTAGATTGGGAATGAGTAAGAACATACAACGGCTTAGCTATCTTGGTCGCACAAAAAAAAAAACGTCGCGCAAACTCGAAATCGCTTTATAAAGCAACTTCGGAAAAGCCGCATTTCATTAAGCCGTTGGAACATATGGCTAAAGGTGAATTGAATAAGGCTCAGGGGATAATAATACGAAATAAGCTGATAAACATCCTCATTTGATCAAGCCAGACAACAAATAAATATTACAATATGGGAGCTATTTGTACTTCCTCTATGTAGAAACATGAATCTAAACGAACTGCCATGTTTCTTGTTGATCGTTACAGGGGAGGGTAGGACATATTTCAGAAAGTGACCACCAGCATATTTCAAATTACGGACGGCTAGACCCAAACACGCATAATAAAAACTCAAACATTCCGATAAAACATAAAAATACCATGGGCACTCCCGAAACGACTGCATACCCTCACGATGACACTGCCATTGGAATAATTCGAAAAATACCGACCCTGTCAGTATTTCATTAATTAAACGTCAGAGTGCTCTGACGCACGTAGCCATTTCCCCCAGAGTTGATAAATTTCACCGCCCTTCCGGGCCGTTCACGTTATAGTGTCCGTGTAGCCACCAAACGCAATCTCGGTGTCGCCTTCGCTAAATCTTCGCCCGGAGTTGAGCCCAGGTGAGCCGAGTTGAGCAAGCGACACAGCAAACTTGGCCGCAAACGCTGTGTTCAATTAGAGCCGGAGGTTTGTCGCAATAGCTACCGGGGAAGGTTGGCGAGATTTGACGTAGTAAGGCGAACACCGAAGTTCTTGAGCCCAAGAAGTGGACTTCGATTGATAATTTTATACACATTACTTGAATGACGGCAGTTACAATTTAATGATTTTCGGTTGATTATTGGCGATCTATAAGCCACGATTATTCACTTGAAAACAAATTCAGAAACCACTGCGGGCGGCGTTCGGCCTATGCCCCAGCTTCAAGTGGACCCCTAAAATGCGTACTGCGTAGGTAGGTATGGCCCGTTTGTCCCTTTTTTGCGCCATAATCCCATGCACCCAGTGGCGTAGACAGGGGGGGGCATGGGGGCCATGGCCCCCCCTTTCCGCCCAGCCGCCCAAATGGCGCCCCAATTAGCGCCGACTAGGCTGATGCCGTTTTACAGAGAGAACATGAATTAAAAAGTGATGTGCAGGCAGGGATCGAACTCAATATCTCTTTGGGGGTGCCTGGACACCTAAATAATCTCCAGGGCACCCCCAAATACGACCTGAGCCCCCAAATGTTCAAGGGCGCCCCTCCGGAAACCAGAATATTCCGAACCTCCAGGGTCGATGGCGCCCCTGAAGAGCCGCTGGCACCCACCTAAACGGAACAGTCGCCCCATTAAAGCTTGATGGCGCCCCTCTAGAGCACCCGGCGCCCCTCTGAAGTTCACAGCTGCCCCAATCGACCCATCCAAGATCGATCCCTGAAACCACTGGCGCCCCTCTAAAGCACCCGCATTCTTCTCAAGATCACAGTCGCCCTATCCGAGATCAATAGCGCCCTCAAGAGCCACTAGCGCCCCACCCCCTTGAGACTGAAGTCGTCCCGCTTGAGACTAAAGTCGCCCCATTCAAGCCCAATGACGCCCCTCCAGAGCGTCCGGCGCGCTTCTGAAGATCACGCCCATCTAAACGAAGGTTACAGCTGCCCCATCTTAAGATCGATGGCAGCCCTCTGAAACCAATGGCGCCCTTCTAGACTACCCGGCACCCCTCTGAAAATCACATTCGCCCCATCCGAGACAACGCCCCTGGAGACTACAGTCGGCCCACCCAAGCTCAAGCCCCTCCAGAGCCTCCCTGCGGCGCCCTGCTGAAGGCAACAGTGGCCCCATCCATGCCCAATGGCGCCCCTCAACGCCGTTCTAAAGATCACAGTCGCCCCATCAATCCGAGGTCGCTGGCGCCCCTCAAGAGCCACTGGCGCTCACCTGAACCGGGGCTTCAGTCGGCCCATCCTTGATCAATGGCGCCCCTCTGAAACCACTGATGCTCCTCTGAAAATCCCAGTCGGACCATCCGAGATCAATGGCGCCCCTCCAGAGCGTCCGATGCCCTACTGAAGGCAGCAGTGACCCCATCCAAGCATTGCACCCCTCTAGAGCACCCGGTGCCCTTCTGAAGATCACATTCGCCCTATCCGAGGTCGTTGACGCCCTCCAGTAGTCACTGACGCGAAACTGAATTGGATACTTCGGTCGCCCCCCCCCCCCGAAACCACTGACGCTAGGCAATTTTTTGACAATGGGGCTTTCTCATCGACACCAAGGGCCCTTTTCAAGATGCAGCAGCTAGGCGGCGCCGAGCTGGGCTTGGATGTGCCAAGCGAAGCGTTCCTTATTAGGCAGCCTTGTAAGTGCCACCCTCGTTGCGATACCGCCCCTCAACGCGACGCTGCCCCTTCACCGTACAATGCCACCCCTCAATGCAAGTTGCGCCCCTCAGCGCTGTGCCGCCCATTATTGCGATGCCGACAGCGCCTAGCAGTGGGGTGCCGCCCCCAGCGTAAGCGTTTTTTTATTGAACCTGCTGGGGGTGTTCGAACACCCACTTCTAACTCAGCTTGTGGGCCACGTCGAGACACGCAGTAGGCGGCGTTCGAAAGAGCGTCAAAAACTATTACAAAACTACTTAGATCATTTTAAGGCTAGGTCGAACTGGTCGAAGGTCAGGTCACCAGCGACAACCGAAAATCAAATTTCGCCGATGTTGACATTTTTTGACAAAGCGGCGCATAAGTCAGGATTCAGAAAGAGATTGAACTACAGCGCCGCAGCAAAGCGCATATTCGATAGCTCTTTTTTATGCTCTCTCTTATTGATTATCTCAGATTTGACCTAAGGTAAACGTTTTAGCCTCAGAATATACGTTTTCGCGGAGGACGTTTACATTTTGCTCAGACCTGCATGAGATTAGTTCAACCAGCATCGTGTTCCATTTTTCGAGACAGACAAGTCAAATGAACTAGAATTTGACATTAAAAGGGCATTTGAGAATTTGACCTAAGGTAAAGGTCATAACCTAACCGGTAAAGGTCATATTGCATATTAGTCGATCCATACTTTCGAGAAGGAAAATAATTATATAGGGTGTTTCATTGCTCTACCATATCTCTATCAAAAGTTATTGTCCAAAATCTACTGGAGACCTTTCATGACCTGAGATGACCTCAGTAACATAAAAGTGGTCACATCATGAGTGACATTTACCGATTAAATGTGTCATATTTACCTGCATCCCGATGGTTGAGGTTGTTTTCGTTCAGAAGAAGAGCATTTCAACTGTCTCCCATTGATCCGCGCCGTGCTGGAGGGGGGGGTACGCCCCCTTAGGTTTTTTCCTCGCGAACATCTCAAAAACGGCGTCGCGCAGCGCCTCCGCTGTCTTTGGTACACCTGTTCATACATCTTTTCTACACAGCTTGTTAAATTTCAGATGAGGGTCGTTCAAGGTCAGGTCACTAGGGCACGTCAAGTGACCTTACCTAAAAAAAGTTAAAAGACCCGCTATAGCTACACCGACAGAACGATCACTTTTGAAACTTTTAGAGATTGATAAGACTAACAATATGCATAAAATGTTCATCTCGGACTTTTTATGTCTGTGACCTAAGGTCAGGTCAATTTTGGGACCTCAAGTCAGTGGGAGAAAAGTGAAATGCGCCTCTTTTGGACGAATGTCGTTTAAAACCCCTTCAACATCGGTTCATAGGTAAACATAGCACACTGAATCGTAAAAATGCACATGTGTCCTTTTATGTGCCCTTGAGGTCATCTCAGGTCATAAGCGGTCACCTATTTTATCACCATAAACGGTTTTTGGCTTCATCTTTTAATGGAGACGTGCTAGAGCGGTGAAAACACGTCAGATGTGGTCAGCTCGACGATACGGATCGACTGATCTGCAGAATGGCCCTTTACGGTCAGGTCATGACCTTGACCTGCGGTCAAATTTTTAAAATAACCTTTCAAGGTCAACGTATAGTTCATTCGACGCGTCTCGACGAGAGGAACACGAGGCAGGCAAAAGAAATATCGTCACTGTCTTGAACCAAATGTTATTGCAGAAAAACGCTTTTCATAAAAACTGTTATTTTTGGAATTTTTGCCCTCTGGCTGGAGGCTTAACCATTGACCTGAGATCAAATCCGAGAGCAATATTCAGAAAAGCCTGTAAAAGGGCTATCGAATGCGCTTTTCCGCGGCGCTGTAGCTCTATTGGTTCCCGAGTTAGCCGTTGGCAGTTTCCAAAATTGTTGAAATGGACTCAATTTTACCTTTGATGACCTCTGGTGACCTGACCTTTGACCTGACCTAAAAATTGAAACGAAGTCTTTCCGTCATTATTTTTGACGCTCTTTCGATTTCCCCTTACCGCGTGTCGCTACGTGGCCCAGGAGCCGAGTTAGAGGGGGGACGTGAAAACACCCCCCCCCCCCCCCCAGCACGACACGGAAAGCACAGGCCACCAGCACGGCGCGGGTTAACTTATAGGTAATCGGTAACTTATAGGTACTTATAGAGAGGTAGCAAAATTGAACTGGCCCTCAATGAAGATATTTGAGAGGCTGCAGTCCACAGGTCATTTTGGTTCAGTGACCTGTATGTTTTTTTTTTCTTTGCAAAGAATAAAGATTGTGCCAATCGATCAACGCATATTTTACCGTTTCGAATTCGAATGGGTGTGTATTATGAGAATAACATGTCCGTAGCCTGAGCTCGTTTCCTATATCGTGCTAAATATGCATAAAGATTTTTTATCGCTTTTGATAAAAAACACTGAGCTGCAAATTGCATTAATTGGATTTCATGAAAAATCAGCGAAACCTGGTTCTGATACTCGTGCCGGTTCCGTAGGAACACCTAGTAAATCATGCATGAATATATGACGCTACATTTTAGACTGACCCCCTGTCACTAGCTCACTATGGCGCCCCTCTCAAGGGAAAAAGTCGCCCCCTCGAGCACCATGGCCCCCCCTTTCGCTGATTTCTGGCTACGCCACTGCATGCACCCATCCAATGCTCGTCAAGCATACTCGTACATTTACTGTCGGTTTTGTCATCTGTATCAAACTGGGAAAAATACATGGTAAGCGTCACTCACTCGTTGAGGCTAGTCCACGAAGGCCGATCGGGGCTCAGCAGCCTAGATAACGCATTGATTCGCGAGTCAGTGTTGGGAACCCGCAGTAGCGCCGGACTCGGCGGGCTGCGCAGGCTGAAGTTCCGAACTCCGCCGATAGGTGACGCAGTGTTCGATATCGCGTGACGACCGTCTGGAAAGCATGGAACAAGCCAGGGTCAATCACACGTTCATTGACTGGCAGATCAAGGGGAGATGGGGGGGGGGGAGGATAGAAGGGGCGCTTAGGACAGAGTCCAAAAGGGTTATTAAAATTACGTCATGAATCCAGAGCGGGCTCTGTTGGGGGCAATCACATAGATGTCAATTCAATTTAGCAGCAACATGTCAAGGTTTTGGTCTAGATTTAGGGCTCTCCACGAAAATATAGAAATAGACTAGTGCCGAGTTATCTGTGAAAAAGGGACTCTTGTTCAATGCTCATGTAGAGAACTGAGAAGGAAATCAATGATCCAAGATTTTTTTTTTAATCAACGCCTCCTTTTGTCCAGTTAGAACTTAAATCATAAAGAGCTTCACTTTAATAGCGTGTTTTTATGTTTATCAGTCCTATCTTTTCAAACTTACTTGACGCACTCCTTTCCTCATATCTTTCGGTAATATGAAGTTAATACACATTTTAATGAAGGCATTTCTGCAAACCTAAACGTTTTCTTGTGCATATGCGCTTTTATCATTCGTTCATCACGGGTGAAAATGAGCTGATTCCTGAGTCGTATGGGCCATTTATAGACATGCGGTACAGAAGGCACCCCCATAACTGCCGGCGAATAATAAATAGCCAAACATGAAACAACACCCATATAACCCAAATCACCCGGCCACTGGCTTTAAGGAGACAAGTATTTATGACCAAACCCCACACCAGCACCACAAATATACAATATAAGATAACTGACGGTCACGTCACGAGAAGTAATTTCCAGTGGCAGCAGTCGATTGACATTGGTATATTGGACATATCAAGACAAATCGCGCACGGCCTTATCCCATATGGTGGTCTGTGTGTAGCGAGTAACGCTAACAATAGGCTAGCATTGCGAAATAGCGTATGGTAATATGCTCGTTTATCGGGAGCAGACAGCGATTACGTCAAATGCGCCACATATAGCACATAATAATGGCAATCGTATAATTATGGTATTTTTATTTCTATTTGTAACAAAGACGTGGCAGTACTATCTCTACGCACATTACCGCAGATATAAATGAAAAAGCATTGTCTAATTATGTAACGCATATGCTATTCAAACAAATTTACAAATCCGGATAGGTCACAATTTCACAGAGCATCCACAAATGCCAAGTTAAGTGGTTCCGGAAACATCAATATTGCATAGAATTACAATAATATCATGACCGTCACATTCTCCTACTATTATAAGCGTAAGGAATGACCCCCGTGGGTTACGTTCCCCATAATCAGACTGAGAAATGCGTAACCATACATAATCATACGAGATTCCACAGAACTAGACCTTACCAACCAACCAGCACAGCAGATCCGACATAGGGTACCTCCCTTTATCCCGATGTTGCAACGTATGCAGTGAATGTACCCTTTTATAAGCACGCTCCAAGTAAGTGCAGTGGTTCGCTTTGCCTGTCAGGACCGTAAGGCCAAATCATTATCTCCCTAACCATTATGTTCCCAACCCACCCGTCTCCATTCCACGCCGTTCGCACGCCACGACGGTGCCCATTAGCTCAACATGCCCCCAGGGCTAAACAGCTGACTGTCAATCGACCGATGATGGTCACGGGGTGACTGACTTATGTAGGTTCTGTGGGTTGTTTCTAGGCTGCATGTCATTAAGCATTTGGCAGGGCCGCAGGGATAAATGCATGTGGTGGTAAAAGTTAACATTGGGAAACATGGCAAGAGGAGAGGAGAGGAGAGGAGAGGAGAGGAGAGGAGAGGAGAGGAGAGGAGAGGAGAGGAGAGGAGAGGAGAGATGAGGACAGGAGAAGAGATGAGAGGAGAGAAAAGGAGAGAGAGAAAAAAAGTGGCGAAGAGAGGACAGGCGAGGAGAGGGATGGAGAAAGGAGAGGAAAGGAGAGGAACGGAGAAGAGAGGAACGGGAACGGAGGGGAGCAGGGTGGGAGTAGGGAGGAAAAGCGCAGAGTGGTTTCTATCACCGGATCAAATGCTCCATTGAGTTGTTCACTGACTGAGGCAAGGCTATAAAACGACTGAGGTAATTTGGTGGTGTCGGTGTCCGACAGGCTCGATTCAGCTGTGAACGACTCTGTAAAAATAAATTATGAGCAGGCGAGCTGCTGGTCTTTTCACGCAATTTGCTCTATTATAGAAAAAAGAGAACAATCATAAACTATATCCACCAACTTTGCAAGGTTCGATCGTTCGTCAAAAATAATGAAGAAATCACTTCAGTCAATTTTTTGGTCAGGTCAAAGGTCAGGTCACCAGAGGTCATTGAAGGCAAAATTTCGCCGATTTCCAGGTCGAATGTCGACAATTTCCAAGATGCTAACGCATAACTCGGGAACCAATAGAGGTACAGCGCCGCGGAAAAGCGCATTCGATAGCCCTATTAACGCCCTTTCTGAATAATTCCCTCAGATTTGACCTAACGTCAACGGTTTTGCCTGCAGGGGGCAAAAACTGCGAAAATAGCCGATTTTTTCGGAAAGAGTTTTTCTGCAATAACTTTTGACCCAAGCCTTGCACGAGCTTACTTTTACCGGCATCGTGTTCATCTCGTCAAGACGCATCGAATGAACTATAACTTGACCTTGAAAGGTCAACTTGAAAATTTGACCTCAGGTCAAGGTCATGACCTGACCTGAAAGGGTCATGTTGCATATCAGTCGATCCGTATTGTCGAGCTGAACACATCTAAGGCGTTTTCATCGCTCTAGCATGCCTCTATCAAAAGTTATTTGCGAAAAACTGTTAGATACCATTCGTGACCTAAGATGACCTCAGGGCATAAACAGGGGGTCACGGACGCCATTTTCTTGTTCAGTGTGTCTAAACCACTTGTAATTCAGTGTTTTGGAGTGTTTATAATGTCTTTCGTCCAAAAGAGGCGCATTTCAATTTTGTTTCATTGACTTACAATGGGGAGGTCGCAAAATTGACATGACCTTAGGTCATCGATATCAAAATTCTGAGATATACATTTTGTACGTGTTATTGCTCTTAGCAATCGCTGAAAGTTTCAAAGCGATCGGTCACTCGGTGTAGCTATGGCAGACATTGAAACTTTTTATGAGGTGAGGTCACTTCAAGTGACCTGGTGACCTGACCTTGAATGACCTTGGTCTGAAATTTTCACAACATGTGTAGAATTGATGTATGATAAGGTGTACCAAAAACGGCGGCGCTTTGCGAAAAACCACAAGGGGGGGGGGTGTTCAAACACCCCCCCAGCAGGGCGCGGGTTAAGTGAAATCAGAAAAGTGCATGACTTGATTAATCATCACGCAAAATGACAAGTCCGTTTATTGCTCCGATAATATAAGCTCGTGTGTTGCTTATGCAAATGGCATACACTGCCTGGCAATTCGTCATTAATGGAAATATATAAAAGTCAAAAGTTACGTTTGAAGTGATCAACAGCACAATTCAAGAGATTGCACATGCCCAGAAGTGCTGACACTCACATTTAATCATGACGTGAGTCAAACTCATTGGTAAAATAGCTTCTACATAATCGCTGTTCTTATTATGCATAAAACAACATATTTCCAAGTAAGGCTGTAGCAATAACAAGTGGTAGTAATCACATATGCATTGTTTTCATGCAAATGCATGAGAACATTATAACCAACGGACCAAAGCTATCAAAATTGCATGTAATATTCTGAGTGCACTAACTACATGGCACTGACACATCTCTATAAATATTTACGCTTTCATTACAGTTAAACAAAGCATTAAAACCATATGAAACACAAAAGGGCCAGTCAAACATGTACCTATAAAACTGTTTTACGACCTTGCACAGCCAACCCATTTCAAAGACGCCTTTTTTACTGGAGACAAATGTAGCGCAATGTTAGCCATCGCGACGCAGCTGGTTTCTGCCGCCGCCGAATACCACTCTAATCAAAAGCAGGAACAGCAGAGCGGATAGAACACTTCCTGTTAGTGCTCCCTGGCGATGGCTAGTAATCGCTGTTACTGTGGCGAAACGTAGCGAAAGGTTACGTGCCATTCATGTTAATTAATTCGGTGAGTGAATGTGATGAATGCTTCATTAGGGGTAGTAATAAGAGGCGAATAATGATCGGAATAATTGTGTAGCATTTGAATAAATCGCTTAGTGTGATTTGGATGGCAATTTCAAAATGGTAAACTTGGCCTCGGCGGTTAGGAAAAGAGTCCAGGGTAAATTATAACATAATACTTTTCATCTACAATTGCACTTATATACTTATATATTCCACATTTTTACACATTTAGCGTCTCCACGTCAAACTAATGAACCCTTCTGCAGAAAGTTACCTGGAGTGGAGCCTAAATAACATGGGACTATCACTAATACACGCTCTCAAGCCGAGCTAGGCCGGTAGTTTCAAAGCAGCTCTCGTGGTTTCCTCGCCACTGGTTCATGGAAGCTCTAATCTTTTCTCTGCAAAGGCGGAAAGACCTCCAATCGTATTGTTTGGTTGGATAATGAAAATTGTTCTGACCCTCCTGACCTGGCTTCTGCAGGTCTCTTTCAGTATACGGGCTTATAGTCCAGCGAAAAGGGCTCCTTTCAGAATCCTGAGCTTGCACGAAATGAACCCAGTGAATGATGTTGAAATGCGCAAAATATTTATTGAAAATCCAAAGATCATTATTATTTCAATAGCATATTGTTTCATTCATAATAAAATAGCAGTGAGCAGTTTTCGTAACAAAAAAAAAAAAAAACATTACAAAGTCGCAGCTGCTTGCTGTTTGCATATTTAATTCGTGCTCTTCCTGCACTGATAAAACATTTAATACGATTCTGAGGGTGATAAAGAACACTTTAAGGAAATTGTTCTATTATTTACCTTTTTTGTTTTACGTAGAAATTTCATCGCGATCCACTGCACTCATTTTAAGTTAATGAAAGCGCAATAAGGAAATATTCCAAACCATCCTAGAGAAATGAGCTTCATGATACGATCAGA